ATAGTGCAGTGGGATAAATTGGTGTGAGTTTGAGCATAATTGCTCAAAGGAGTGAAGGTTCCAGACACAAACCAGGTGGCACATGTGAAAAGCACATTGAAGTGCGTTTCAGACTAAGAACAGCAAGTGCATCTTTACACAAAGGGCGGTGCTAGTATGGCTGTCATGTTGTTCAAGCCAGTACTCTTTCAAGAAACATCTGGATTGTTCCTTAGGTCAATTAACTACTGACTATCAAAGGAGCTAGATGTGCTGAATGGCTTTCCCTTATTTATAGCATTATATTAGAATAGCAAAGGAACAAGTAATAGGTTTATTCCATGCTGAAAAAAAGAAGAAAGAGAACACAACGTTTCGGCCGTGGAGCCTTCTTCAGGTGTGAGAGAGACAGGGCAGTAGGCAAAGGTAAAGCAGAGGGAGAACAAAGGTTGGGAGGGAGGAGGAGTGAGAGGCAGGAGCAGGGGACAGAAAGAGAGGCAAGTCAAGAGGTGTGAAGTCAGAATGGGTGCAGAGGGGTGTGAAATGAAACTTCCAATGAATGGAGAAAATTTAAAAGAACAGTAGTCTGTCATTAAGAGAAGGGAGAATGTGTGATCCTAGCCGCAGAATAATTTTGGTTTCGATGGTCTTTCTGATGTATGAGTTCGGAAAAACTATGAGAACACAGACGGAGAGATTAGAGTGGTCGTGGCCGTCAGAAGTTAAATGAGAAACAATGGGCTTGGAGAGATCTTTAATCTTCACAGCCCTGATGTGTTCTCTGAAGCGGTCTCCGAGTCTCCTTCCTGTTTCTCCAATGTAGATGGCTGGGCATTTACTGCAAGAGATACAGTAAATAAGGTTGCTGGAGGTACAAGATGCTGTCTGGGTGATCCGGAATTGTCCTGAGGGGCCTTGAATGAGTGTGGTGGTGGATGTGTACTTGCAGGTGATACAGCGAGCTCTGTTGCAAGGGAAAGTGCCTGGTGTGGATGGTTGTTGAGGGCGGTCAAGGAGCTGTGAACAAGGAGGTTACGCAGATTAGGTGGTCGGCGATATGAGATGATAGGGCGATCAGAAAATCCGGGGGGTGTTTTTGGCTCGGGCAAGGAAGAATATTGGCGGCAAGTGCCAATATTTTTGTCAGCTGGGTAGAAGAACGCTTCTTCGCTTCCTACACTGGCCATGTATAATATGGTGAGCTCACAACAGGAAATTCAACTAAACACTGACACTTGAATACTCTAAAAGTTACTTAAATTGAATGTGAAACAATGGTTATGGTCATATGAAATCACTGGTTTTAACTCAAAGTATATTTTTATTCTATGAAATCTACGATCACAAATATCTGTGAAATTGCCCAAAATTAAAATATACAGTATGTTCTACATATTATTCTCAAGATCCAAATACAAATTGCTTGACTGTAAAGCAACAATAACAATTTTGATTTTGCTGCCCCATTACTTTTGAAGGGCATTATATGTACTACTGTAATTACTTGAATGTTGAAAACAAGACAACTTGGATATCAATTGAGGATGTCAGCAAAACTGATCTGTCTTCTTGGTCAATGTCCAGCCTTCTAAAAGCTTCAATATAATGATTTTCATTTCAACATTTTTGCCTTCAGTTAAGTGGTCTATAATGGCAGAATGATAAAATCATACAAACAAAATCTATGCCTTCTTGAAACTCAGTGTATCACCAATAAAATAAATCCCTGAAGTACAGTACATTCAGAATTTCAAAAAAAACAAAACAGAGGTCGACACGCATAACAACATTGGCATCCAATTTGAAGATGTATTCAGATTTCAAATACAGTCAGTAAATACATGATCTTAATTTATTCCTTTAAAAATTGCTTATAACATGGAAAATCAATATAACGGAAAATAAATTCCTATTATTTTTGGCGTTATAATCTCTGAATGGTTCCACAACTCAGAAACTGTTCAACTCAGGTTCCAGAGAACTCAAACCTTAACAGAATTGTGTGCAACTATGAAAACAATAACATTCTGGTGAATAACATGCAGTCCTTAACCAATGTATAAATAATAGGCAGTTCCACAATTACACTCCGACTCATTTACGGTACAGTAGTCATTTTTTTACTGCCATGAGCAAATGCATAAACATCGGGTACTATCACGTACTACTGTACATGCATTTAACACACAGAAACCTTTATTACAAGGAAAGTTATAAATCTGAGAAGATATGAGAAAAGACGAATCTTGGCAATGCTTTATGAGAACCCATCTTCTAAGAGTGAAAATCTGCTCATTAAAGAAAAATAAGTTTTAGGAATTACTATACTTTGTATAAAGGTAAACTTGCATAGTGCTGGCTCACACAGCGAAAGATTTCTTATATATATATTGTATTAATATACAAACTAGTATAAGTTCATACTAGGTGTGTTACAACTGTTTGTCTGTGTAATTTGATTTCTAATGTTACAGTGTCATAAACAAGACATTTGCTCATTTTCCTTTGTTGCCGCTCCTGTATAAGTTAATCACCAACAGTATATAAGAAAACACCTCAGAGTAAAACATACATATTTTCAGTGCACTTTTTGTTAGCTTACAGAAACAGAGATGTAACTACAAGTTATTAGTTTATATAAATATTTTCTCCTTAAATCAAATAGAAAAATGACAGCAAATGGGAGCTCACCGAAAAAAATGGGGATCCTCATTTTGTTAAAAAAAAATGTATCGTATTTCAGTTCAGAGGGGAAACAGAAGGGCAAAGAGACCAAAACGTTAAAAACAACTTTTTCCACTGTTGTTTCATCTAAAAAAATAATATATAAAACTGGTCTTAACTCCTTAAATTTACATAACTTGGTTTAAATTACTAATGAGTGGTGTACATTCTAAAATAGTTTTATAATTGTTTTATAAACTACTTTTATCACTCTGTGATAAACATTTTATTTTTAATAATTTTCCTCCATATGTGCTCTCTAATTTGAGTCAGTTAATATCGCTTGCTGTTGTAAAATCAATTAATAACATATAGAATATATTAAGCACATCAAGAGATATTAATACAAAACTGGTACTGAGTCAACACTAGATGAATTCAGCATGTTTAAATTAGATGGTGACAGACAGTATATTGGCTTCTGTCTGTTTGGGTGAGAACTAATCAGGTTTCAAACAAGAAACCTGCACGATTTGAACATATATAATATAAAGATAATACAAAGAATAGGGAAATCAAACAATCCTGAAAAACACAGTATAGTCCTGATCCAATATTCAATAAGGAAGAGAGGTATATTCAATTCAAGAAAAATAAACCTATTTAAAAAAATGACACTGGATTGATTTGCTACTGGTGTCATGAAGTGATTGGTAGTGACAGTAGTAGGAGGCATTTCATCAAAGCAAAGATAAAAACAATACCACTAATTATATAACCCTGCATTTCACTAATTATTTTCATTTACAGATTTATCAGCAACAAACCTAGTATACAACTGAAGCATGATTAGTATCTCAATATTAGAGACAAAAGACCACTCTTTTATAAAAAATTCCCAATCCTTCAAATCCCTTGACTTAAGTTGCATATTTAGCCAAATGGCAGAGCAACATTGGATATATACTATAATATCATTCTTGGGGCTATGCATTGAACTTTGCAAGCCCTACCCTTTCAGGCTGCTACAGTAGGCTATCCATCTGTCATGCTTTCTTAGGAAGAAAGACAGGTTTGGCATTTTCTCCCTTGGTGCACATTTTCATTTTGCATCCGTGCACCTATTAGGAAAACTGTGAACATATGTCCATGCACAGCAGTTTAGATACCCTGCAAGACTAACAATTACTGTTGCCAGAAGACCCCCATTGGAAGGTAAAAGTGCTTGATGAATGCTCCAGCTGTGCACTGGGACAGTAATTCCAAGCTTTTGATCAGCTGATGTTAAAGTGTCTTGCAGCATCAGATTCCTGGATGGAAAACCAGTACCACTTACATATATTTTAATTATGCAGGGGATCAAAAACAAGATAAATAATGTAGGACAATGGCATGCATGTTTAAAACCCTAGAAATAGAGCTTTGTAACAATGAAATAAAATGTCATTAAAAAAGGCAGCTGAATAATTGTAAGGCAATGATCATCTAACAGTCCAGTAAACGAAAATAAGTAATATCAGTTACAAACCCATAATTAAAAATAGTCAAATGGAAATAACAATAATCTAAAATGAAAAATGAAAATCTGAAGATAAATAACGATAATTTAAATCATTTCAAATGAAACAAATAGTAAGATGGGTATAATTTGAAAGTATTGAGCCATAATTAAATTGCACCCCCAGGTGGGTGCTGCATTTTAGTGGTGGATGAAGTGGATTCCCTCTTTTTCCCAGTCTTTTGAGATGAAAAGTATATAAATGCAAGGAATTATAAATGATAAAATCAATCCCCATAAAGGGGGGGCGGGTATGTTTGTGCTAAATACTGTACCTATGAGTCTGTCTCTTCTGCTCAAGGTTAGGGTACAATATTTATATTTGCCTGGTATAATCTACTTGTTAATAGAAGAACACCTGTGTTTTCAGACATTTTCATCTAGAATGTCCAGTTCTTGCACTGCTTTGAACAGTTTAATATGGCAGAGTTTTGCATGAAACACTGTTTTACTGATCATTTTCTGCCTCTACCTGGTGATGAAATCACTCAAATCTTGAAGTGAAAAAAGTAAAGGCCAGCATTCAGCAGGAATTGGACAACAGTTCCTAAAACCTAAATGTGATACCTGCAGCTAAATATTTTCCCCGGTTAACAAACGTTCTTACTCTAGAAAGAAAGACATGTGGGGAAGAGCTATGACAAACAGCTTTACAACATATCCGCTGATGGAATTAATGTAATGTACTGTAATGTAATGATGGTAATAGTGAACAGAAAATGACCCACTCAAAAATCCTTCAGGCCTTGTGCCTGGTACCATATAATAATTAGATGCAATAAAAAATAAAATAAATTACCGCTCATTTTCTTGAAGTGCTTCGTTCCCTTTCCTCCATGTGATCATTCCTCTGGGAGACATTGTGGGTTTGCACTCAATGACAACTTCTCCTCCCTCTCTAACCAGAGTTTGTTTTTTCAAGAGATTCTGTGAAAAATCTGGTGCTATTGCTGTGGAAGAAGAAAAGAAGGTTATACAATCTGGTCTGGCCTTCAGTCTTTATTGAACTGAAAAATCACAATTTGTACTAACAAATATGGGATTTGTTTCCCCTGGGGAACACTTGTCAGGGTATTACAACTTAAAACAACTGTAATAAAAAAACAGAGCAAAACAAGTTAAAACTATATGGAGTGTAAAAGATTATGCACACTAAGGTATGCAAAGAACTATTCATATTTGAACCCATTTATAATACCAATACCTTTTATGAAAATCTAAAACAAAACACAAATCTAAAGTGAGAAGAACTTCAGCAAAGATCAGTTAATGATATAATTACTAATATCCTCACATATATTAGGCTTCTTGTTTAATGCATTGTATTTAGAAAAACTGGCTTTCAAAGTGAGTCTTACAAATTACCAGCACTAAGCTGAAATGGCAAGATTGAAAACTGCAAGCTCTGCAGTCCTTAATTACCACTGTCTTATTTCTTCTATGTGAAACATTGAATGAAAATGTCACATTCTTTTATTTTCACTGCCCAAATTAATTTTATCATTATAACTACCAGTAGTTCTACTTCTCTTCCCCTTTTAACAAGATCCTCAATTAGAACACATCCATAAGTCAATATACAGTAGTGTGACTGTAATTTTCTGCCTTCAGATTAACTGCAGGGGGATTGTGTACAGTACATAGTCGTGCTTTTTACAGAGAGAACTGTTCATTAAGAAGTTAAAAAAACACAAAGAAATGGCAAAATGTGTGTTTAAATTATTTTGCTCCGGTGAATTCAAGCATGGGATGTATGAGAAGCTTTTAAACCTGCAAAAATAAAACTACTAGTGGTATTGTATGCCTTTTTATCACCACTTTCATTTAAAATCCAGCTGTATGAAGAACCTCGACTGGTTACATCAAGAAGCCATTATCTAGTGAGAGGGCAAGCATGGAACAGGCTTGCCTGCGACACAGAGAGATTGATTTCATCGTTCTTTAATTTTGCTGTGCAATCTAGCAACTTCTCAATAACACTGACAGTTTGCACAGTAAGAATGACAAAGCACATCCTGCATAGACAGGCTACAATAGAACTGGTAAAATAAAAAAAAAAATCTATAGTCTTTGCAGACAAGAAACAAAGTCAAAATCGTAAATACTAGCAAATATGTCCCATTCCTCTTACCCATCACTCTGAGTTCAGCACTGGTATGTTTCTCTCCATGCTTATTTTCAGCTATGCACTGGTACATCCCAGAATCAGTCAAAGCCAGGCCAGTGATGGTTAGGATGCCATTCACCACTTGTATTCTTTCCTTGGAAAAAGACAGAAAAGTGTACCTTTACAAATGTATGAATTAATATATAGTTTCAAATCATGAAAACAAAGATTTGGGCTACAGCACTCATGGCTAATGACAGAATGAGGCAGCAGAGCAGTAAATGATCTTAATCAATTTAATCATGTACAGTTAAGTTGCAGATAAAGTCCATTCTATTTATTTTTCTTGTTGTTTAGACTCTCTTTTTTGATTCAGAAAGTGCAAGTAGAATGCAGACTAGCACAAAGCTATGCAGGAGAGCTGGGTCTATTGCCAGATTCCTAGGAATGCCAATTTGCTGATGTATCTTCTACCTGTCCTAAGGGAACGAGTTCAGCTTGGGGAAGAGAGACTATTGCAGTTACCATGCATTTTCCAGTCACATCTATAATGAAAATTGTAATTTGTGCCAAACTGTGTGCTACTTTTGTATATGGTCTGTGGATCACTTTCTTGGGAACGTCAATTCATTATTTCATTTTTTTTTTAAATAGGAGAGATTTGGCCCATGTCCCCGAGGAAAAGAAGAAAAAAATTGGATAAAATGAAAACCACCATCTGGAAAGGCCTTACTAAACAATACTGCGGCAAAAGCAGATGCTGAAGAGGAATAAAAAAAAAACAGTCCAGACTAAATGAAATATGTACTTTCAGGATAATTTTAATTAAGTTAATTTTTAAATTAAGTTTAATGTTAAAAACATATAAGCAAATTAATTAGAATAAATTAACCTGTATAAGTTAAAAAAAAAATATTTGGTGGACCATGAGTCCTGTCATCTGTGAAAGCTACTTTGGTTTTTGCGTAAAACCATATTTCTTAATTGTTCTATTTTTGTCAAAGTTCACTTTCACCTTTGATTCCACTTGTCCTTGATCTGTTTTTTTTTGTTCTCTGAAGCTCACCATAATATCATTAGAAAGCAGATCCTGAGGGGCATTTGAATGACTCTGTTTCTAGTCTTAAAGGATTAAGGTAGTGCGACATAAAAAGAAGAGTGCGCTCATTGAAACATCACATCATGATCCAGCAGGATTTTTGAACTCCTTTATTTGACCAGAAAAGTCAATAGGGACCAAATTCTCATGTACTATGATGACCCGCAGACCCATTTGTACAGCAGGGCAACCTGTATAAATGAACAGGTTATGTCCAGAGTTCTTGTTGCTTTAATTTCAGGTGAGAAAGCCTAATATTACTCTGGAAATTCTAAAAAAGCCTTCTAGAATGTGAAACAAATGGCAGCACATGTTATTACCTACGTGAAGCCAATTCCTTTTACGGTTGCCATTAATTAACAATGACATTCCACTAAAATCAGCAGTTTTCGTGAATCAGAGGAAACCATCTGTGCACCTCTGCTAAAGTAAGCCAACGGATAGTGAGTTAGGCATGACTAGGATTTCTTAATTTGGTTTACAAAGTTTAACCAAAACCAGCTATGCTGAACAGCTTGCTGTCAAAATGCCTTCCATTTATTATGTATTTGAAGGGTCTATCATTCAAACCAAAAAAAGCATGTTAAAAAAGTACTGTATCTTGTTTCTAGAACAAATTAATTGCTTATAACCAAAGAAAATATAACTTAATTTAACCACCCTACTGTGTGGGTTATCTTGTTTAGGCACCTGCAAAGCTTTTTTATTTCAGTTATATTTTAAAATGACAGCTTTGCAAATATGCTGTTCCTTGTAGCTGCCGAACCAAATGGCAGCAAAAGAAAAAAAGAAGTCATATTGATTTATTGTAATGAATAATTACAAATGACTTCCTTTTCCCAAGTTTTAGTTTCCTAGCAACAATGACCTTTTGTTACCCAATTGATTAAAGGCTGTAGCAGTTGATGGTGACATTTTAGGAATTGTAATAGCTCTTTTGATTAATTTTTCTAAGTGTCTGAAAAGTTCATTAATATTTGCACTTTTAGAGATGTTTCATGTCTTCTCACTTTAATGTGGACACAATTACAGTTCAGTGACTTAACCCTTGTATTTGGTTTTGGCTAACACTAAAAATGCTATTCTATTACTAGACGTTAACAATTAAAATCACTTCTGTCATTTTCTTGTGTATAGTAAGAGAATTATCTCTGACAAGCAGGCAGGTTTGTTTTTTACTGGCATGTTGTGAAGAGTAATTAATTTTTGGTCCAGGACAGTACATCCTTTAAGATGTTTATATAAACAAAACAAAGCAAGCAGACTTAGAATTTAACTCTAGTATAAGCAGATTAAATTATGCAAATTATCTATACCCTTCTTTTATTTGGTCTGCAATTATTTTGTGTAATGGTAAAACATAATATATTCTATTCTTTTTTATTGCTTTCAGATAGTGTCAGAAGAATGTGATCTTTCTCCAACAAATGGCACTTTTGAACAGAAACTCAGATTCCATTGAACTTTTGCTGAAAGCGAAAAGCTTTGCCATTTAATTTTTTAGCCACATAGAAGGGGATATGAGCAAAAAATTAAGTATCTCCCATCAGACAATTTCAGAAAAGAAAAATCTGTTTGATTAACGTCTAATCCATAGACCATACGTACAAGATGGCACAGACTGTTCCCACAGTGGTTCTACAAATGTATTGCTTTTAATAGATTCAAAAGGTCAAAAATATATTAAAGATGGCAAAATATATCATCACCATATGCAAAGGAGTCTTATGATGTTTCTAATGCTATCAGCTTATATATTTCATTTTCTACGACATATTTAATATTCACTCATCATCAGAAAGCCACCTCATCAAGTGTAGCAGATATACTGGAAGCAAAGGGCACAAGGTGCAACTACGCCTTGAACAGAGTGCCAGTCCACTCCAGGGCACACAGGGACAGTTTATAGACACCAATTAACTTAGCAAGCATAGTGTATGTTAGAAGGTGAAAGAAAACTGAGAAAAAACACACATGAATACAAGGAAACTATGAAAACTGCACACTAGCAGTTCAGAATCAAACCCAGGAAGAAAAAGAGCTGTGATACAGTAGTGCTAGCTGTCACACCATAGCCCTGGCTCATAGTTAATTAAAACAGAATTATTTAAAGATGCTCCTCCATGCAATATCAAAGTGTAGTCCCTTTCAAAATGTCTAGAAAGTGTAATGTGCTTATACACACAAAGGTTATTGGACCCCAGACTGAAAATAAGAAAAAAGAGAGAGACACTAACTCATGTAACACTCAGATGTATGAGCGAGTCTGCTTTAAAATATTGGGGAAAAGCAAATGTACCACTTTGGAAAATAAGTGATTTATACTCATCTCAGAGCACATACGATTTAAAAGAAAATTACTGTGAAAGGTTTATACTGTAGCACCTTAATACTATAACAATATTGCCATCACATTTTGCAGTTTAAATTCTTCTTCAACATACTGTACATAGACAACCTACCATATTAACACCTTACAGGAAATTTTACATTGTGAAACTGAATAATTGGAACCTTGTGAATATCAACTGTTTGTAACTCAAGAATGTGTTGTTGGATTTATTAGGTACATATTGTAAAATCTTTAAGAGTTTGAATACTTGCTAACACAGAAAATAGCTTCAAATTACTAGAGTGCTTCTGCATGGAAATCACTGCCTTAACAGCTTTTTCAGATACAATACTATAAGTGTACCTAAATTTTAATCCAATATTAACAGCATGGTCTCCTCAAAGCAAATATATTTACAATATATAGTGGCTGAGAAATCTGGGAAATATTAGCCACAGCTGCTCTCTAACCTCTAATGATTCCAAGGACTCTCCATTCTTCAGCCATCTGTAGGAAGGCTTTGGTTTTCCACTTGCTTTGCATTCCCAGACCAAGTTATCATCGATAGGCTTGTGCACATCATGAAGTTTTTCAATCAGTTGAGGGGGGGCTGTAAAAAAAAACACACTGAAATGATAAAAGGCACTGACAGACTCATTACCATCTTGTTTCTTGTCTCACACCCCTCTATTTATGGGCCTCACAGGTCATTCTAGCCATTGTGGGACCACAAGTTATGATATTGTGTCAGTGATGAAATCCAATAATTGCTGAGTACACGTTGAATTGTGATGACAATTATCACACATTTGTAAACAATCTGGAGACATTTAAACTTTTGTGGTGTGAACACATGGTTATCTGCTCCATACGATAGAATATACTTATACTATGGTTTTAGAATTGTTTTTTAATAATATTTAAAACATTAATACTTTTGAAAATAAAGTCACATTAAATGATATTAGACATTTAGTGTTAAGCCTTACAATCTAATGAAAAATACCTACCAAGGCCATTATAACTAAACTTCTTTCTCAGACTCTGAATATATCAAAAGTAGGTGCTTGTCACCATCATTTCAGACTTGTTTTCTAACCGAGAAAGAAAAATACTGACCACACTACACCCTGTAGTAAATTTGTGGTTGAGCCAGGGAGGCTCAGCTCAAATGCCCAGGCAATAAACCATTTTTAATAAAAAGTGACAACGCTGCACAAAAGAAATGAAGTTTTGAGCTCAAGCTGAATGCTATTTCTGTGAAGGCTTTCTCAGTTCTTTTGTTTTATGATTTTCTTTTAATTTATTGGTAGTTCAATGTGAGTCACGAAAATTCATGGCTGAAAATGCTCTACTGTTCTCTGAAATGGAAAATGCTGTCTTATGTTTTGTTGGATTGATCTTTGTATCATGATATACCTATATAAACTAAGCCAGAAACTAGGGAACTGGTTTGTAATATAATATTAAAAGATGACTTGATATAGTTCTCAATAAAATAAAGTTTTCCATCTACTCCCTTTACAGGACAGTATCATAAATTTACTTGGATTCATTGTTTTGTAGTAAATGGAGTGTAAACTAAGTTTGTAATAAAATGGGCCTCTGTCACTACAACCTAACATTTTCATAGCAAAACAGTCAGAAAACTAATTTACCAAATCTATTTTTTCTTTAAAAAGAATATAGCATTTTTCTGCTGTAATCCTAAAACCATCACTCCATGTTACATTCCTCAATTATTTGCATAACTTCAATAACATGAGAACCTTTTGAGATAGCCTTGTTGCCAGCCATAACAGAAGCCATTAATATGGCAGTTATACGTTTAGTTACTCTGTATGGAGTAACTAAAAAAAAGGCAATTTTTGTAATCCAAAAATAACACAAAAATAATATTAATAGAACAAAAATATTTTTGTGATGGTGACAGCTGTGATATGGAGTGATAGACAACACACATATACTGATTCTCTAACTCCGAGCTTGACTGTGCCAGAGAAACTCAATTAACATTTGTCTCAGAAAGTGAGTCAAAAAACAAAGATGTTCATTGCTGGGCAAAGAGGGAACCAGAGTTTTTTTCAGAGAGGTTAGGCTGAACATGCACACCAGCAATGATCCTTTCCCTGTTTTGCACACAAACTTCGATCTAAAAAAAATATCTTATGGAAAATAATAGGTACAAACTGGATTATTCATTCAGATGGTGATATGCTGTAATTTACACAAAGCACAATGAATAATTGCAGGAGGTTAGATGGTTAGATGTGTGGGAGTACAAATCAATGTACAGAAGAATAAGGAACAATTTTGCATAGGTATGGTAAAGAGGGGTTTTAATTTAACGTTTAGGAAGCTCTTCATGTGTCTTTGCATTTTTTACTCTACATTGAATTGATTATTGCTGACAGAATTGCAAAAGTCCTAAAAGTCAACCACGCAATCTGAGATTTTTTATTTAATCATTTATATCATAGAATGAAAGCCCATAAACATCCTCACTGTGTGTTCATACTAACAGATCTGTTTATCGATAATGATTTCAGTTTCTAAATTGTATCTAGTACCTGTATGTACTGTAAAGACATTACATAAAGTAGGTAAGAGAAGATACAAATATATTGCTGCTGTTTCACAAAATTAAAATTAGGTGGTAGTTTCTGAGATGACTGGTAAATGCAGAAATTTCCAAAAACATACAATATAGCCTTTTTTCACTGTTGTTGTATTTCACCTAAACCGGAAAAAAAGAGCTGTTTAAACTGCAATCAACACCAAACATATAACTGTGAATGTTCAACATTTGACTTCATGTCTCTCCAATACAGCAGCAGAACGTAATGGTGATAGGAAAGTCATGAAGTCAAATCCCAGGTGGGACACTACTGTGGTACACTTGAGCAAGGTACCTCACTCAAATTACTCCAGTAAATAATCTGCTGTCCAAATGTATCCTCCGAAGTCTTTGATGTAAGTTTGAATTCACTCCTACTTTGGTAATCTGACTAGAAAGGATAAAAATCAGTGTACAATTTTGTACAATTCAAAATCTAACAATCAGAAAATAACAGCATGCATAAAAAAGAGGTTAAATACAGTGAAATTCCAACAACAAGTCACACTGGGGTAAAACAAATTGAATTAGTCATATACTAGAAGTTCTATTCTCATTTTTGGTAATAACTTAATGTTATGGTATGCCACTTTGTGTTATAACTTTCTTATCAAATAAAAAAATCAAGCTAAAACCTGGCTTTTTAATGAAATACAAAGGAGGACCCAAATTTATCTCAGGATGACGGCATGAATCTTGCCTGTTAAGATTTATGGTGGGGGAGTTTCAAATATCATTAGCTTCTTTCTTTGGTCTTGCAAATAAAAAGCAAAGTAAAACACCAACAATAGGAATAAACAGTTCATTTTAAAGAACTGCTATTCTTTCTTCAAAAGGTCATAGCTTATTCAATGTGTCAAACTGTTCATGTGTTGAAGCCAAAACAACTTATGGATCACTGTCATCTGTGCTTCAATTCAGGTCTCGAAGGCAGGCAGACAAGTTTGGTTTGACCTCTCTTGTGAAGGAAACACTGTCAATACTGCAATGAATTTAAATTATTAAAAAGTAATATTGCTATGCTATCATGCAGATGCCATCCAGCTGTTATGTTGAAGATGATTTTCATGATACTCTAGAATGAAACACCTGATAGACATACCGAAATACAAGGTCAAGTTGGCCTTGCAAAATATCAATCATTTTACCATCTGGAAGACAGCTAAGCAATGCATACCATTTATGTTAGATAAAAACATCAGGAGAGCAAGAGTTGTCAAGCTTCATGCTACATTTACCTTTTTTTGCTACAAAACATAATTGTAGTGCAGAAGCAAATTATTGATAGCTATGGATAATGGCAGAATGAGGATAATGTGACTTGTCATCACAAACAAAATTAATGTTTCTGTTATTCTGTGGTCATTATCTCTGACGTGAAATGGAAAAAATAAAAGAAATCTTTCACAAATTATCTTACATCTGTCATTCCTGTTTTGACAGATGTATCGCCTGCAACAGATTATACTCAACAAAACACACTAACATTTCTAAGACAAGAGTCCTGCTTGTTTTAGCATGAGGAAAATGCTTTCAAATTTAATTGCCAACATATCATTGTTAAACACACATACTACAGTGAAGACAAAAAGAGACCTCACCATAGAATGTCAGCTTCCCTTTGGCAACATTCTTTCCTCTGGAGTTCTCTGCAACACACTCGTATAAACCCGCATCCTCCTGCTGAAAATATGGGATTTCCAAGACTCCGCTTGATTTGTTTAATTCCACCCTTCTGGAAAGAGGGATTCCGTCAGCTCTTCTCCAGCTAATGGTTGGAACTGGGCTAAGGGAGAGAAATGAAAGAAAACACATCAGTAAAATGGAACATGCTGCAATTATTATTGCAACGCTGCCTATATACTGTACTGCATTCATTTTTCTATTATCAGATAAAGTTTATCTTGCGGGAGGGTGCAGATTTCTTCCAAATTTCTCATTGTGTATTTATATTGAAGGAGCTTGAATGATCAATTGGTTCAAGGTGTCTTAGCCAAATAAATATATATTATAACAATAACAAGTGATAGCATAGTGCACTTACTTTCCCAGTGCAAAACATTCCAATTTCACAGTTGATCCTCTGGCAGCAGGAACAATCTCTGGAAACTGAACCTCTATCTTTGGCTCATATTCGCCCATTACTCCTGTTGCATTCAGCATGAAAACAAAACAAAGGAAACATCAGGATTTTAATTATCTTTTAAAACAGTCTGTATTGTCAAATGCTAATCTTCCGGCTCAGGTGAACTCATATGCTTTAGTAAATTACTTAATTTGCTAAAGCAACTTTGAGGTATTCCCTATTTATATACCTACAATATGTACACACATATCAATGACAAAACTGAAAATATTAGACAAGAGAAATGTAAATATATGCCACCATGGTGGACTGGTATTACATCTCCCATATGTATTTTACTACAAAGCTCATTTTCAATTCTAGACCAGCATGTTCTTTTCCTGCCTTGTGTCTTAAGCATCCCCTCATGTAAACTACTCCTGTCCATATTTAACGGTGCTGCCTATAATTTCATGTTCCTGAATACAATTTAGTTTGAAGATCAGATTACATACATTAGTATAAATGGGCTTACTGGACTGTAACATTTCACTTGTTCTGCTTTGTGTTCCTTCTGAAAGACTGGAATCCTGTAACATGAGTCAAACAACGCACATTTTTATCCCAATATTAATGCTTGGATGTTAGAAAGACAATAGCAGGATCCAAAAAAGAATTTATTGACTTCATCCATATTCCTCTGTTAGCAGCTCTTTAATAAAACTCTATCAGCTCATAGCATAAACAGCTCCCCTGGATTATAGGTTCACACACTTCACCCTGTTAGTGAAGAAACACTGTAGGCAAACAGATGGCAGAGAGAGGCAACAAGATCATTAACTTATTGCCCATTAGCACAAACCCTTATTCCTCTATATGACCAAGACCAAATTAATTTCATTTTAATCCCAAAGCATTTTTCAAGTCTTTAAAAATGGTAAAGTATCTGTATGGCTTTCAGGATTTCACTGCCCAGATTTAGTTTTTGAAAAGGAACTAAAACATCTCTTTTCCCTCACCTGGTATTGTAAGACAACTTTTTTACCTTGGTAGTTGGGTGAATGTGGAGAACTAATTCAGATAATTATCTCAATTTTCTGATTCATATCAGCGGCTGTGAATAAGATTGGGGAGAATGGGCACATTAGCATCCCCTGACATATCTAGCAAGGAGAGTTCTATCTTATTGTGCCTTCCAGGTATCTCTCATTACGAGACACTTGCTTCTCAGTGTAACAGAAGGTACAGTATATAAACTGGTAAATGTATTTGGTGTTTAAATTAACTGCAAATTGTTGTAAGATCACACCTATTTTAAAGAACTATTTCGTCCATATTTAACACTCCCATCAGTTACTAAGAGCATGTCAATAAGTATAAAGTAAGCTTAATACTGAGATTGTTTAATTAAATACAGAGTGGACCAAAAAAATTGGAGCATTGTAAATAGTCCTGTATAAGGGCATTTTGTTTTGTAAAAAATAAATAACATGGCTGTAGTAGTAGAAATAACAACAATACAGATTCAGACTTGGTAGAGATTCAGATACTACTCTAATGTTTGCAAGTTAATAAAACAATGTCAATAAATGGTGGCAGTGTTAAAACCTTGTAGCCTGATCTTTTCAGATCTCAAACACTAAGAAAGCTTGGGTTTTGGTTACTGCCATAAGAGCATCCAAACCCCAGTGCCCCAGTATGTGGTACCAGAGAACTGTGCAGTGAACTACTGTACACTAGGAGGTGCCATACTTCAGAAGCGAAATTAAAGAATCCAGTGGTTTTGTTCCTAAGAAGAAGGTTTTTACCCAGGTGTCCTGGCTAAACTCCACTAGGCATACATAATCTGGCTTCCATTCATGTATATTGTCCTCTTAATTCAACAACTGACTGTGTGGTAAAGTGCTGATAAATAATGAATGCAGTGCGACACACACTGTACAGTAGGTGCTCTATTACGGGATATAATGGAATTAAAAAGCACTATGTAAATGCATGGCAGCCAATGAGTATAGGAACCAATGTCATTTGTTGTGTTTTTAATGTTTCTCAGTATATTAAGGAATTATTATCTACATTTCACGTGTCATGATAAATCAAACTATTTATCACCAATTGCAGTTCTGCTGCTCCAGCAGATCTAAAATGCATGTACTGTAGGTTATGTATCAGAAACAGGAATAATGGGTTTGCTTGTTCCTTGACATCAACAGCATCCATAACTTTACTTTAGCACACGTTGTTCAATGATACAGTGTCACTGTAAACATTAATTTATATCCATTAAAAGAGATGGAGGAGCAACTAATAATTAGATCATTCCTGGACAGGTGACCTTTATATTTAAAAGTATCGATTAGGCCAGCACAGAAGCACCACAACACATGTAACTAAGTTATCTCAATATCTTAGAGCACTGAAACAATAGCTATTAACCTTTTCTGCTATTTGTATTCATCAACAATAGTCTTGGTGGTGTACTTTAATGAAGAACAATTCCCTTTTTGTCTAACTTTCTTAAATAAAACTTAATTTCACCATAGGCAGCTTCTATAAATTTCACAGATGTTGCTCCTTTGTCCACAGAGACAAAGCCATGCAGATATATAGAGGCAGATTCTATATATTAGCTCTTTGCTTTGTATGAAATATTGTCTGTATTGTTAATAAAACAGAGTTCTCTAAATTCAGCCTCTTCTAATTATACTTCACCTTTTATTACAAGATTCGTATCTTCTCATTTTCTGTATTTCAAACTCTTTAGGTGAAAAAAAGCATTTCTAAAGCGTTTTGGGTGCTTCGTATAGCATCTTTAACACTATTGTCTCAAGGCACTTAGCACTAAAACAAGACTAAGGTAAAAACAACAGAGAAAGGTATACCCAAATTAATATAGCAAATTAAGTATAATTAAACTAATGAATAATTAGATTTACTTTGATTAACCTTTCTGCAATCTTTTACCGATAATACAGATAACAATGAGAGTTTTACAGTTGCAATTACTAAAACTAATTAATACCACTAAAAATACTAATTAATTCTAAAATATTATATAATACTTATTAATACTACTAATAATATTAATATTAATTAGCAATGATACTACTAATACTAATAATAATACTGTGAATTAAAGTATAATAGAATTTAGTAATACAACTACAAATATTGATAAAAACGTACTCTTGTCACGTCCAGGCTGGGAGTGGCTTGCTGCACTCCCACAAGTGCTCACCTTCCAATCCAGCCTGTGAGGACCATTTTGGGCCACCTGTCTGTGTGTCCCTCTCCCTTTCAATTTGTTCTCTAATTAATCACTACATTTGAGCCCCCAAACCCACTAATTCAGTGCTCTGACACTGAGATACCCAGAGTAGTACAATTCCCAGCCTATTTTAGGAACCTGTCGTGGTGAGTTCCCGATTCTTCTAATCGTTGCTTTCCTTCCAACCTCCTGATACTCCTTATTAGAAGCACTGAATTCAACTGCTATCAGCCATACCATAGCCGGCTTTCCTCTCCACCTTCTGTTCCCAAGCTACCAGTCATACTTGCTGCCCACGGTTTCCCAGTCAGTCCGCCTGCATCAACCCAAGTCTTGCGTTAAAGTTGGTCCGACTGTGGCAGTGTACTCCAGCCTAGCGTGGTGTAAACATTCTTTTTGTAAACCATTTAGGACTCACCATCGGTTCGAAGCACCAGAGGGGTGGGTGGGCCTTGCACTTTGCTGTTTGTGACGGAGTTTGTCACCACACAGGTATAATTGCCCACATCTGAGGGCTCCACTTTAGCAATGTACAAGTTTCCAGTCTTCTGTGAAACAAAGCGGCGAGTATCCTGCTGCACAAATGACGGGTATTCATTGAAAATCCAGGAGTATGTCAGTTCTGCCAAAAAGAATTTAAATTATTAAAGGTTAAAACACACATTCACTTAAAAAATTGCTCTGTAAAAGAAGAAAAAAATAATTTTAGTCTCACTTAATCTGAAGTATAATTAAGAATGTTCAACTGTTATTTATATAACATATACTTTATAGATGGTAAAAACTGCAATAAAAGCCATTTCAGATGAACTGTTGATTAAACATATGTTAAGCTGCATACTGTATTTTTTTTTCTAGACTGCTTCAACTAATCCAAGTTGTCAAATTCATCACAGATGCCAAAGATATGGCCACACACTGAGGTGAAAATTGCCTATTTTTTAAGCAATTAACATACAGAATCCAATTTATGCTCAGGTACTCATTACATAAAAGTAAAATTAGGAATGAGAGGAGTCAACACATACTGCAGAACTTTGTCTTCCTATTTTTTTAGTTGAATCAAACTGATTGTGCTGAAAATTATTAATTTCTTAGTGTTATCACTGAACTCATTGTGTATCTGTCTTCAGAGCAGGTTTCACATACTGTACAGTATCCAACTGTGTATAACAATACATGGATTGCTGTGGCTCCTACATTTGCCATTTTAAGACACATCTGTAACACCTTAACCTTCCACTTGTTTTTGGGTCCTATGTGCCAGACAACATTAATACAAAAATGATCCTGACATCAATGAGATTTGGATTAGAAACCAAATCCAGTAAGTGCTACAATAGTAATCGGTGTTATCTTTATTGAGCATTCTGATGTTTTTAATTGTGTTTTGTTAAAACAGATTCTCAAAGTGTAATTTAAACAAATCTCAGATGATTTGTAAACTTCAATGGATGACAATAACAGATTAACACAGGGCGCAATTTATAACTCAGAGCTACATGATAACACATAAGCATAGCTCAGTGATTTTTAATGATGTGCCAGTCCCATTACAGCAAGAAAATACATCAAGAAGCAACAAGATTATGCAACAAATGCCAGCTGCCGTTGCACACATGAATGAAGAGCACAATAAAGAAATCTCTGACTCTCTTTAAAAACGATGTGGCTTTTCCAAACATATTAACTGCAGTGTTAGGATTTTGAGATGCCCTAGGTAACAAATGGGATAATAAATTTCTGCAATAGTACAAAGCTTCAGAGGAACCCATTTGTCAACTGCGTACAAAAAATACTTTGCAACATATTAAGAACAAAATCTCACAGACCAGTGGATTAAGCTGCTACCTGGTCTTTATCCCAAACATAAATGCCAACAATACCTGACTGACATATTTCCATGTCAAAATCCTTCTGACCAAACAACAGACTTTTAAATACTGACCTTTAAGATGGGTAATTTGTTTTGGTTGTTGTTATTTCAGACATTTCTCCAACTGAAATACCTTTTCACTTTGCAGTTTCACAGGCCAATAAACAAACTGAGAAACTAAAATAAGAAATGTTCCCCCAAAACTCACAATACACTATCCCAAACAATTTCACTAAAACAATGAGATACACACTGAGAAATAAATCTTTGCATGCTAAAAGCAGAGGCAAATAAAATGTTTTATGATGATTTACAGTAGGCCATTGTGAAGAAGCATTGTTTACTCCACATTTATTAAATACTACTGGATTCAGTTATACGCAAGTAATCTGGGGTGGTGTAAGTGATCAATTTATATGCCTTGATAAGGTTAGATATTTACCACATATATTATATATTTACATTAAACATTAGAGATTTCTTATCATTCCAAAAAATCAGCATTACATAGAGAAAAAAAAAACTCTATTCTTTAGAGTTTGCAAAACCAAGGCAAGCCAAAATACTTGGTTCTATCTTATTCTGTGCCCTACCATTACTGTGAGATCAACACTGGATGAGACAGCAAAACTACATGTCTCAGGAAACCAACAGCAACTTAGGAAACCCAGAACATCTAGTTTTGTCATAGATGGCTGCAGATGTCCACTTTAACATGATGTGTTACAACGCAGTTGGAAGTTTCTGTCAGCATTATATTGATTAACTGACATTTTCAAACTGCTTTTTAAACAGGCATGAAAAATTCTTAAACTGAACCTCTACAGACCTTCTTTTTCATTAGAAGGTTTAATTGAACAAAATGTGTTAAAATTCGAATTATACAATTTGATTCAAATTAAATATTTTTTTTTGGTTCCCATGTCATTCCTGCTCTGCCTCTCTGGCCTCAATGTCATTTTAAGGTGCAGACCCTTGAATGTCTTTTAGTTTGTCTGAACAGATGGACATTTGCAAGATTTGGTAAATAAAGTGGATAATTCTCCAACAGTGAGTACCCACACACATTGAGGCCCTCAGTGCAGTGCACTGAGGAGTTGGTTTTGAAACCTTACTGCCCCCCCATCTTCTATAATTTATTTTATTATTATCAATTCCATGACATGGCTATTTTTAGCATTTTAACACTCTCATCTAATGACATGGTGAAGTATAAAAAGCAAAGTGGGCTGAGTGGTGCTTTCTTTTCTTGCAGATAATGGCTGTATCTTACTCTCTCTGAACTGTCAGCTTTAGTGCTTCTGAATTGTTCCCTGTTTTGGATTGACAGGTAGAGTATGTGTGCAGAAGAGAGATAGCATACCAACTCCTATAACACAGGATATGGGCACTATATATTTTTTATTAATTTACAGTTTTCTGTGTAGTATTACATTTTATACGGTATATACTATACTGTATATGGAATTATATAAGGTTATATGTAAAATATTTTTAATTTAAAATACATTACATTTATACCATAAAAATGAGCACATTACAACTTCAACTGCAATACCTTTTTTCTTCATATTTTGTACTTTATACTTGTTGTTTTGCCACAGATGTATCATTTCTGAGCTAAGATTGCAAATGTGAATATGACGGCATGGTGCACAGATGTGTCCATTTGTTTTTTTTTTCCATTACAATTTCAGTTCTTGTGCAGTTTTCACCAAGGAATCTGCCTAGACAACAGCAAAATGAGAATGGAATGCAGATCACTGCATGCTCCAAGCCTTCCAAAAAGACATCTATAACTACCAGAAGCTCTGAACAACACCCATAGTGAACAAAGAAGAAGAGAACAAGAAGTTAACTTGATTGAGTAGTGGTAAACAGCACAATCTTACATCTTGGAAGAGCAACTCAGACTGATAACTCGAAGCACCATGTTTTTCTGGTCTTCTACTGAGGACTGCAGGACTAGTGTCAGTGACAAAAAACTCTCATGGATTGATGCACTATATATAGAGGGTTTTGTGACACTATTGGAAAACAGAAATGGCAGTTGAAAGGACATGCAGGAAAACAACCGATCCACATTGGATGAAGGAAATTCTATCCCACATTCCAAGAGGAAAAATAAGAACAAAAAGGTGGTTTAAAAAAAAACATAAGACAAACTTAAGAACTCTACAGGAGCATTGTGAATCAAAGAGCCAGGAATCTGTGGAGGGAGTTTAGGGATGTTTTACCTCACAATGGATTGAAAATATGTGATAACAATGTAATATATTAATGAACTGCCCAGCATCTCTTCCGCAATGAATGCACCTGTATAAGAGCTGGAAAAATAGTTTTGATGACTTCAGCCCTATGTAAAGTGTGTATGTGTTGTTAAGTACTGTATTATTTAACTAGAGAAGAACTGTTTGCTTGTCAGAAGCTTTCTTTTTTGAAATGATGAAGAGAAAATGATATTCGGTTCCAGTGTGTAAGTCTTGGTATGGCAGCACAAAGCAATCTTTTTTTTTTCACTAGTAAGACTACTTCAAGGCAGCTCCTGGAAGCTTATATAAAAGGTGACCCAGTCTTCATCTAAAATTGCCTGCTGTTAGCTTGGAAATATTTTCCACACCAAACATAAAGAAATGGCAACTTTTACTGACAAAACATAATGCATGTAAAACTTAAACTGCAAGGGTTGCAGAACAGTTTTGAGAAAACAAAAAAGTAATATTTAAAAACCAACAAGCACACTGCAAGTGATTTGTGAAAATGTAAAAATAGTGATGAAAGTACAGGCAACTAATTCTTCAGAATAAGTGTAAAACCTGCAGCTCTGTCATACTGCCAAAGTCTTTAATGAAATAGGTACCTTATCACTATCTAAGGCTGTGTTAAAATAAAAAAATGATGGATTTTTGTCGTATCTGATACTAGAATAGATTGCACTGGAGCTTGTTATATCCCTGTCCCATAAGCAATTTGTACCCATTTGTAAAAACATGTATAAAGGATGATAGTCCAGTTTTGGGAATAACTTTGCTGACTTGCGTTGCAAAGACCTTTTGTATTAAAAACTATTTCAAACCAATCTGAAGACAGTTACCATGAATTTCTTTTAAGCTCTACTGGGAAAAGGACATGTTCCATGGAAAAAAAACAAGCAGTACATATTGCAGAACAAATGTTTTCTTCAGGCCAAATAGATTTCTAAATCTCCATTCCTTTTACTTGTTACTAAATGAAAAGATGACAAAGTAAAATCTCCGTTATGAGTTTCGTAAATTGCCTTTGCAAATGTTCACAGAGCTTCTTCACAAAGCCCCTTCAAGGCACTTGTAATTATTTTGGGAATATTTAGTACAGTATAATTGCATAAGCAGAGGCTTCACGACTAATAAGTTAAAAATGCTACACCTTCTAAATATGCCAATTAGTTTTCAGTGTTAGAACCAACAATTAAAATCTGCCTTTAGGTTAGTTAATAGTTCAGAATGTGATACATTCAACAGTGCCTCCAGAACTGCATCCAACTGCATCACCAAATAATACTGAAACACAGGAAGAAGTAGTTTGAACAACTAACCATATTCTCATGAATTACATTTTGAATTTAATTATAATTTCAACTTTCAGCAAGAATAAGGCATTTTTTTCACAACTTTGCAGTCTTTAGATATTTCTAATATTTGAACAAAGGATTCACCCAAAAAATGCCTAAAGTATTTTAAGGGTCATTCATATTATAATACCATCAG